TGTTTATTATTTTTCTTTCTTCTTGGTAAATTTCATAGGTAATCCTTTCTTTATCTAAATATGTTTGCAAGGATTTATTTAGTATCTGCTAATTTAAAAATATAAGGTGCAATTTTTTCATCTTGTTCCTTCTTCAAAATACTTCTAATGGTGCTGTAATTCTTTGGTTCCATAGTAGATCTGATGTAAATTAACTATTTTTATATAGGGGTAATTCTATATATCACTTAAGATAACAAATTGGACTGTTAAATTATAATTACAATGTAATTGTGATAATAATGACTAAATTTTGATCCCTGAAATTCTTGGTAATACCAATGTTCACTTTGTCTGGTTTTGTTGCAGCATGCCCTATATAGTTTTAATAATAATTGAGGAATGCTGCAACAAAACCAGACAAAGTGAACATTGGTATTACCAAGAATTTCAGGGACTAAAATTTAGTAATGTGATTATCAGTTTGTGTTACATATTGAATTTAGCCAATCAACGTTAAATTTTCTACCAGAAAGACAAATTTGATTGGCTAAATTCAATATGTAACACAAATCCCCGCACTCAATTTCAGACACTGGTGATTATTATTATGTCAGGCTACAATCCAGGTGTAGATTCTTAACCTGCACCCTCAAAATCTGATTGGCTATTATCATCAACCAGTAATAATTTTTATAAAACATTTCTCTTGGCTCATTATGTAAATAGATAATAAATAAATTTTTTATTTAAATCATTATATGGGGTATGCTGCAACAAAACCAGACAAAGTGAACATTGGACTACAAGGATTTCAGGGCTCAAAATTTAGTCATCACCAATTTAATTATTAACCTACACCCAAGTGTAGATTCTTAACCTGCACCCTCAAATTCTGATTGGCTATTATCATAAAAGTTTTTATTTAAATCATTATATGCCGCAAGTTATTGTTTCTAAGACTGTTATGCTTTCAATTGCAAGAAGTTTGTTATAAGACAAATGAATCTTACTTTAACTGTAACAAATCGAGTACATGTAATCTATATTCCTATAAGTAATAAATGTTTAATTTTTTGAAATTGCAAATGTTGATACGTTTTTTAAAAATAAACATTATAATAGTTAAGGATGTAACCAGTTATATAATTGTATTAAAAATTCTAAGTTGAATTAAAAATTTTTTTTTTGCTTTTTCATTTTCGTGTTCTTTTTATTTCACATTTTTCCTCAGATTTTTGATAATTTTATTTTAATACTGTAAAGTCCGGAAAGATAGCATCCCCTTTTTACATATGTGTAACATTTTTTTTATATTGACGCTCAATTGTTTTAAAGTAGGGGGT